CTCTCTAAATCATTTTCTCCAAGTGGTAATTGTTTCAATGTCCCAAGATATTAAAAGCTATTAAAGTCTAATGGCCCAAGTCTTGTTTTTCCTATAAAGGTGGAAACTTTTCTCAATGCTCTAGCCTTTTCTTTATTAGTATTTAACTGGCTGCCAGTTTTACAAAATTCACAATTATGTCTATGTACATAGCACAAATAAAATAAATTCAGTGAACTTTTAGGTTTGGAAAAATTAGGTTTTGGGTTCATTATTAACTTTACTGAAAATGTTTTATATATCCAAAATAGCCATTTTCATGTTCAAATGAAATATATAAGGGTATAATCAAGAATTATGAAAACCTACATGTAGCAGTCCTATTTTTGTAGTTTCTTTTGCTACTAATGTTTACAGTCGGTTTTTTACAAGAGATTTTTGGTCTTTACCTGATGAGACCTTTCATCATAGCTATGAAAAAATTGTATTCACTGGATACTATTTTATGATTTTTAGGTAATTATCTCCTGTATGGGTGCAAATATAGTACAGGCTTTCTTCATTGCAATTTTCTCCTTCTGTGAAACATTTCACTGTTTATCCTGTGAAAAGCGATATTACAATTTTTACTTAGCCAATCATAATTTAAAAGAAAACATGACAGGGGAGTGGATGAAAGAGAAAATCATAATTTTGGTAACTATAATTACACTGGAAATCCATTAACTATGGCAAATTTCAGGTATTTTAACTTCTCATGTACCATCAGTTCAAACATTGTCTCAACTAGAAGGGGAAATTTACTGGAGAGATATAAATAAAATCAATCTCTCATTAACCAAAGTAGTAAATATAAAAGGGGAAAAACAGAGTTTTTTTGTTTTTTTTTTCCTTTTTGTCTTTTTTCGTGTCCAGCAATGGATCACAACCATCAGTGTCGCGCCCGCACCGGACCGGGACCGGCAACGGGATCGCAACCCTCGGTGCTGCGCCCGCACCACGCTCAGCCAGTGAGTGGGAACCGGTCTGTATGTGGGATCTGAACCCTCGGCAGGAGTGCCGCTGCGCTCCCAAGTGGCGCACTGTAGCAGTGCGCCACCGGGCCGGCCCTATTTACATTCTTTTTAAAGGTTGAATATATATTGATGAAATAGGGAAAAAACGATGTCATTTAAAATTAATGGCAAGTCTATTTTAATAATAAAGCAAAATCATTTTATTACAAGTAA